TTTTTTTCACCCAGAATGACTGTATTTCGGCAACGTGTCAATATTTCTGTAAACATTTTTAAACCCATTTATTACGGCTGCGTCGCACAGGCCGTTTTGCCTATACTTCAAAGCCTTTGTGGCTGCTATAAAGTGGCATTTGCCGGTTAGGGGGAAGGGTCTGTCACAGGTCTGGCTTTGATGATCTTACGGGTCAGCCTGAGCCCGTCAGCATCCCAGGGCGCGCACGTTTTTAAATGCCCCCATGAAAACGCAGGAACATGAAAGCATTTTGTCGTACGGTCACGGCATAAACTTACAGCTCACCTTCCTTTACAACTCCCCTGAGTCGACTCCTGACAATACCCAACCACCCCTTGTAGTAGCTAGCCGCACGGGCTGGCCTTGCAAGCTTCCTATCCCCACCCCGCATGTCACCATAAACATATCCCAGCGTTGAGCAAACTCAATCCACTTTTTTTAAAACGGCCCTCCCCCCCCCAAACTATGCACGCAACTCCCAGCCAATAAAGTCACACCTATGCCAACAGAGGAAGAAGGCACTGTTCCTCAATCCAGGCAACCAGATCAGCCTTGTTGTGGGCCATCCAACAGTTGCAGGACAGAACCCATGTACCAGAACTGAAAAGTGAAAACACAAAAAAACAACAATACAAATACTGTACCCAGGTCTCTTGTAAAGAGACTTCTCAAAGTACACTGTACTCGTAACTGGTTATAGATGCCTTCCATTTAATCTGAATACAAACCATGTACAACAGCTATTGCTTGATATTATGGAATACATTTAAAATGTTTATCCTATTTCGGTGAACTTTTAACATGTGTTTTCATATATTGTTTTATATATATTGTATTATTTTATTGTTTCCCTTCAACGTGACTTTACCGAAAGAGCTAAGAATATGAATTACTGCAGTCACGAAAGCTTTAAATCAAAATGTGCTTTCAACGTTTTGTAATCATTGTACTGTACGGAACTTTCTCAATCCACTGCTGGATGAAGGTGTTGCCCTGTAGGTCACGGGGGTTGTTATCACCATACTTCACTTTACCACGCGGGCCAGTGTTGGTTGAAGGGGTTCCGGGTACCCAGAACTGGTTGAAATGCTGCAAGTCACTGACCATGAGCCGTGACCGGGAATCGAATCCAAGGTCATCGGGTTCATGGCGTGGTGCGCGAACCACTGAGTCACTGACCCACGCAAATAAAATAAATAATGATTAAATATGGAAATATTATTGAAGAAAAACAACTAACTGGCAACACCGAGGGCAAGGGGAGAGATAAACGTGACATTTTGACCAGATGACCTTCAAGAAAATCTTTTTTTAAGTTTTTAGCCCTGTGGTGATGTCTATTCCAAGCGGTGCACTTTACTCAACAGCGATTAACGGTCAACAAAATATTACATTCAATAAAGTGACCAATACATATTTTTTCCACCGTTGCCGAGAGCAAAACAAAGTCTTCCCTTCATCAAGCTGGGCCCCCTCTCTGTGCGTGTGGTGAAAACGGCCCACTGCACACAATGCACACCCAACAGTGCCACCATATGGACGGAAAGTCTCCTGCAGTTGTTGTTGTAGCCTTGGCACGTAACGACGCATCGATAATGATTATCCATCGACGTAAATAAAATCTTACGCTCGCAACACGCGCGTCGAATCACGCGGTGCTGAAAATCAGTGATTCTGAATGGCCAGCTAATTACACGCAAACGATTTCGCAGTCAAAATTCAGACTGTATTTCATGCTCAAATGAACATTTAGGCGGTGCTCATTTTTACGTTTACAGTGGCGAAGAATTCCACATTCATATGGTGGTGGCAAGTGTCCCCGCAGATCATCACCGTTGACTTTCTAACAAAGTGGTATTTATTTTATATACTTCGCTGATTCAACCCCCCCAAACATTATTTTAAATCGCATTTAGTCTCGTGAAGTTAACTAAACCGTACGCACAACGGGGAAGAAACGACAAACATCACATCGCCATTACAAGTAAAAAAGGAAAAAACTCAAAATATCGACTCCTCAAATAAATCACGATTTTGATTTATAATAATAGGTGTAATCCTCTCTGGCAATAAAACAGGTGTCAAGATGTTCAAACACCAAGCAGAAACCCTTTTGCAAGGAATCATGGCTGCATTTATCAAACATACTTGTGATGAACATGCAAACAAAAAAAACATGCTCTGGTGATTCTATGCATTGTCTTTGAAACTCATTGTTCTACACCAGAGACGGCCTTCTTTAGGGCCGAGTCTCAACCAGGGTTACACTAGAGAACGCCAAAAGGCAAACAGCACAAAGCCAATATACTCAGGGTGAGCAGCTGATTTTTTTTACCTGAATCCTTGCAGTCACGAAAGCTTCAAATCTAGAAATACATGGATTGTCTTTGAAAATGATCGGTCCACACCAGAGACGGCTTTTTTAAGGCCTAGTCTCAACCAGTGTTAGACTTGAGAACGCCAAAAGTCAAACAGCACAATGTTGAATTGTTGAGTCATGGTGCTCAGCAATGACCACGTCGGGCTATTGTGCAGGAAAGTGCCGAGGAGACCCTGCTTACCAGTTATGCGCACATTTTCATGCAAACCCACATCATGGGAAACAAGCTCACGGCAATATTCACCACCATCAACAGCCCGTTTACTGTAAATACCCCGTGCCACGTGAGGCGTGTCCTGGAAACACCTGATAATAACCCGCACAACCTCACGGTCCAAAAAACAGGCCCCTTTTTAGAAGTAAGCAGATTTAATGGACGAAGACAGTGAATGCATTATGTTGATTGTGCCATTATCTGAAAAAGGAGCTTCATCAAAAGTGGATCGTTAAATGTTCCCATGATGCCGTAATGGATAAATTTAAAACTAAATACGTAGACGCGAGTTTCCAAGTCATTCCAGGGCACCGCCTCAAGCGAATTGACAGGGACGCGGAAGAGTTGCAGAGCTAACGCTAGACAGCAGCTTCCTACAAAGATCCCCCGCATAGCCTGAGACAGACTTAGGGCAAGTGCTGTTAGCGAGCAGCACCGATAAAGGCCGGCATGGCACACGAGAGGGTGGGTTGCCAAAACAACGTCCGGCAGCATTCGTATCCCCCAGTGGCAATGTTTACACACCGTGACCAGGTACTCATTTGAGGCCCAGTTGCCCTAGGAGAGGTCCAGGACCGGTTCAGATATTCGTCACTAATGTTGGCCGTGAGTGGTAATCGTATTCAGGTTCCCAGGTTGGTCGTGCAGCATGCTAACCACTGCGCCACCACTCTCCACAAGCACGCTCCTTCCTTCACAGACATCACAAACCGATGCAAATCACTGTCATCTTTTATTTTAAATAACATTCAAAATATATACATCAAATATTCTAATATTTTTGTGTTATGTATTATATATCTCTTATACAAAGGTCACTCGTGCAATTGAGAATCTCCTGACAATCTTGAGTTCTCCTCTGGTTAAATAAAATAAACTTGACTACTTTGTATAATTTATTGTATCGTTATATGTTGACCTATAGGCCCTGTATCTAACTGAGATGGGGTCTTCGCCGATACACATCTTGTAGTTCACCAACATTGGCTCAAGCAGGCTTGACTGCTGATGAGACATTGAATGTCGAAATCGCTCCATGGTTTGCTTGCGATGAAACCAATGCTGTTAAAAATTACCCACTTCGTGAATGGGATGTGTAACAAACACTTTTATTTTACGTGTGCAAGGGGACATTATTTATTTCTCTGCTTAATAAAATACAGCAGTACAAAGGGAAAAAAACGCCCATTGACCTGTGCCAACCCACGCTCGTAGAAGCAATATAGTGCTCGTGTTGACAGTCCTCCTCGGAAGATTACATCTTGTCTGTGCCAGACAGGGCGAGCTACCGCACAAAGCCGGCTGGTGCCAAGCTGCATTTACGAGACAATGGAGCGCCCACAGCCCACGCCGATGGCAAACACCGCAATAAATAAATGAGACACCGGTCCTTGATTCATAACCGCCCACGTGTTCCCGTGCTCATCGATATTTACGCCAGTCTTTCATCGTAGTCGCAGAAAGCGCGAACATGCGCCCATTGCGGTGACACTTCCAGACGGACGTTTGGCTCAGCGGATGAAAAAAAAATGCGGTCAACACGCCCCTGTAATTAAAGTGTAGCTTTGCAGTGAGCACGGTGCCAAATGTATGTCATTACCACTGCGGGTCAACGTGGGAGAACAATGACTCGCTGAGCAACCCGAACCTCATTAACGCTAAGAATACTCCGTCTCTAATCAACAGGAATTTACAGGTCCCAGTTAGAGGGCACCGAAGAGCTTCTTATCTCCAGATGACTGATTCAACTGGGGGGAATTGACCAGCCTGAAAGAACCACAAGGAAACTAAGGAGGAGAGAGACCCATGGTTGTAATTTTAGCGAGAAATTATAGTGTACCACGTGGATGGTAGAAGAATGCAAATGACAGTGGAGACGTAGTGCTTTAAGACAAGTGGGCTTGGGCCGGACACATTGCCAGAGGAGAGACGATGTCCCAACGGATGAGACTTGGATGGGAGGGAAACGCGTGCGAGAGAGCGTACGTCCACCGCAGGAGATGGAGCAATGAGATTAGCTCACACGGTGCAGGGGCGGGGTGGATTACGGCATTGGAAGACCACCTTTATCCAGCAGTGTATAGATCACGTCCCTTTAAAACATGTTACATTTGGTACAAATATTAAAATTATCTAATTTCCGAACGTTGATTTATTGCAGCATCAAGTATTAGATATTGCGTTCTGAGATATACAAATTATAATACATACACGAACTGCATCTTTCGCAGATCCACCACTCCAAGAGACGCTTAATACGAATACCATACAACATACAATAATCATTAGCGTCGTAATGGAGAATATATAAGTAAATCATCTGGCAGCTCACAAGCATTGCTTTAAACAAACCTGATGCTACTGCACAACGTGTCTCTTTTTGTTCAAGAAAACGCCTCTGGCAGTGGAGGGTAAAGGCGCAGCCCTGCAATGTCCTCACCGCCACCGCTGGGGTAAGAACCCCCCTCTACAGCAGTGATTCTTAACCTTCACTGCAGCCTTGCACTCCTTTGGTTCTTACTCGTAAACATGTTTATGTTAATAAATACATAGGGTTTGATGAAACAAAGTAGTTGTACTTACGTGCCCGTGCTTACGTTGTGTTTCAATACTGTGCCTTCTAAAAAAATCTGCCCATGTCTCGCACCCCCAGAAAGGGCATCTCGCACGCCCAGCGGGGTGGGGGGGGCGTGTACCCCAAGTGAAGGACCACTGCTCTGGAGGGAGCTGAGAGGGTGCTTGGCCGACTCTTCCACGTGGTCCAAGTGATCTTGGCGAGGTTGCAGTACCTACAATGTTACCCCCACCACCACCACACAGAATCCTGCCGCCGATCATAGTAGACTCACTATGGTGTAACCGCATTTAATATTGCTGGGTGGACATAGGCGGGCGTGGTGGGTGAGTGGGTAGGGGGAGGATTTGTGAGCAACGTTGCCCGCCCCCCCCGTTGTGTCAGCTGCCACGCTGGGAGATCGAACCCGCAGAGTCTGGCTCGCAACGTCCTGTGTCTCAAATGCATCAAAAGGCTAAAAGCATGACTACATTTTTGTTCCACCGCGCGCAGCGTGCACATTAGGGAAGACAATAGTGTGTACAGAGAAACACGATCCATTCATTGTGCGTGTTGTTGACTTCGGGGGGAGCGGTAGTGTAGCGGTCAGCGCACCGCGCTACGAGCCCAGCGAGCCGAGTTCCATTCACGCTCACGACCAACAACAGTGGCGAATGTTTGCACCGCTTTGGGGGTCTCCCCTAGGTCGACTCGGCTTTAAATGAGTACCTGGTGCGGTGTGTAAACACCCGCAATGGGGAGACAAAGGCTGCCGGGCGTGGTGTTGGCCAGCCACCCCCTCGTGCGCCGTGCCTGGCCTTCAGAGGTTGTTGCTCGAAGCACTTGTCTGCCGAGGCTATGCAGGGGACCTCTGTCCGTGATATTGACTGTAAACATACCCTCCCTATAGGGGCGAAACCAAACATAGAACGAAAATCAGTGCTTACGGGTTCCCCCGCACTGCTGAGGCTCCCACTCACAACTCCTGGAGATTCACCAAACTCGCAACGAGAAAGCAATCGGATGTGGCACGGGCTGCTGCTGCTGCTGCTGTCGGCGTCACGACAAAAAAAAAATCCACACCCGCGCCGCATCGACGGCCTTACATGGGCAGCACAGTTGAAGGTCACGGGGCCTGAAGCCGCAGCCTTGTTATTATTATTGTTATTATTGTCACTACATTCTTTGCCCGTCCTAGGACGGAAGCTGTCATATTTACGAAAATAATTGAGCGGAGTATAATTGTTGTGCCTTGTGTAAATTGAACGGCAGTGAATCTTGCACCAAAGTATGTCATCAAACACGTCACTGCAGCACCGCATTAATGGCAGTGAATCTGGCACAAAACTATGTCATAAAACACCCCACTTCATGTCACTGTAGCACTGTATATAACTGACCTTCAGTTTGTTCAAATTCACTGCTCTGAAACTGTATTCTCTTGTTTTCGGTCGCTGGGGTTGAAATTAATTGGAAATCGATATAATATCTGGGAAATCATTGAGAAATGTCTATTTTACCATAATGTAGAAGCATAAATTAGTCTCAAGTGCTGAAGAAATAAATAAAGACACCATATCCACTTTGTTGTTGCTGCGTATAATTATTTTTTAGATTCACTTTCAATAAAGAAACGTCAAACTTAAAGCGAATTTGCGAAAAAAATATTCATTTCCGCTCGAAAATTCTTCTGCGTGAGTGTAAAAATCCACCCGCTCATGAATATTAATGAGGGGGGTGCAGCATGTGGAGTGACGTCACGCGCTCATTATGGTAGTAATAGGGACGCCTCCTGTAAAAAAACAAACACCTGCAGCAAAACAAAAAATATCCTCCACTTGTTTTAATTATTATTATACAGAAACTTAGTAAACGCCGTGGATCTCATCGGATCTCGGAAGTGAAGCAGGGGTTTGAGCCCTGGCCGGTGGCTATGCACGTGGCCTGTAATTCAGAACTGTGGAGGTAGGCGATGGTTGGTGTGGATCAACCACACAAATGTTGTGAAACTCCCGTCCCGTGGGCGTCGTGGAGGTAGGTGCCCGTACCGTGGCTCGCCAGGAGAAGGCGGTACACCACGTGGACTAATCGCCATCCGTTTCAATCTGTGCGGGGCACAGCGCGTTGCCCCCTCGGTGCCCGTGGCTTTTGTTTCTTCTGATTCTACGGGTGCTCCGGTTTCCTCCCACACGAATGATAAATACGCGCAACCATTTATTGGCTGAAAACAACTGAGTGTGGCTTTTCCTAGATAAACTAGCAAATGAAATACAACTATGCAAATGGATAGCGCCGCGATGGGTGACCGCCGGCAAGGATCGCATTGGCGCTGTGGGCTACTGCTGCGAGGTTAAGTTGTCAACAGAGGGCAGCGCAGAAACACCCAGAGTTGTACTCTACTACAGGGGTCCCCGACCCCCGGGCCGCGGACCGGTACCGGGCCGTGGCCTGTTAGGAACCGGGCCGCACAGCAGCAGGAGGAGGTGAGAGCGGTGAGTCCGCGCGTGGTCCCCCCCCCCATTGTTTTATTATTCACCACTTCCGTCCGCGCCTCTTTCCCGCACTGCGCACTTGTCTCAGTCACGTGGTGTTGGTAAGCCCACAAGCTCTAACCCCCTAGTAGCCAAAATGAGTAACAAACAAACGTCGCTGGAGAGCTTCTTTGAAAAGTGGGAAAGACACAATGATGAACCCCGCCCCCCCCCCAACGGTCCGTGAAAAAAATTGTCTTCCACGAAACCAACCCCTAGTGCCAAAAAGGTTGGGGACCGCTGCTCTACTACGCACAAAAATCTATGCTCCGCTCATCAACAAATATGCACTGACCAGTGCCCCCCCCCCCCCCCAAGACTGACCCGCCGTCGGGAGGCTCTCATCCAGCAGTGGATTGAAAAACATTTCTGTGCATGTATTTAGAAGTCAGAATGACGAGAGAGACCAATTCCGCCACTCAGGAAACAACCGCCCTGCATCGTACAGTACAGCGTTAGCCAACAGCGGCATTCTTAACTACAACACAATGCGAGGGCATTCCGTGCGTAGTAATTCAGTGAAGAACCACGTCACATATCGAATGTGCTTTGCGATACCTAATCTCATTCGGGGTGTGCTGAGGAAGTTGAGAAAAATCCACATTCCTATGCCAGTACCCAGTTTGTTTGATACAAAATAATCCCACAACGTAACGCAGCCCCCCCCCCCTCCTCCTCCTCGCCGTGCCCCCACCACCACCCTCCACCCTGAAGCTGCTGGCAGTAACTGGCCAAATTAACCTTTGACCAGCATTCGACCTCGCAACTTTCCGATCGTGAGCCAAACCGACGTGTACCCCACCACCCGACAAGCCTCTAAAACAATGCAACCCATTTAAACCGCGCTCCCGTACCGGAACAATAGCAGAGAACTCATTGAACTCAGCACGGCAGAAGGCATTATTATTTTATATATTTTATACGCCAACGCAGCAGCGGTTTACCACAGTTACGCATTCACCCAGACACGAGCGCCCGGAGTTTGAACGATCGCCTTGACAATTTTCCACGCTCGTCGTGCGGCAAAAGAGCGGCTTCCGAGAAGGGAGCCCTTGCTCCAAGGTCAAGCGAGGGAAGCCACGGGCCCAACTCGGCCCCGATTAAAATCGCCGCGCGAGGCAGGCGCCTGGGAGCCGCCCACAGCGAGGACTTGCGGGTCAAGAGGGCAGCCGCGTCGCGCGCTCAGGCGAGAGAGCGAGAGAGAGAAAGGCGACAGAGCGGAGGCGTGCCGGGTCGCCACTGGACCACCGCGACGACTACTCGTGAAGATCCGCGCGCCGCCACAGCGCGAGACACCACAGACACAAAGAGAGATGGGCTGCTCCATTAGAGCTTTGGGCCAATGCTTTACGGCACTTTGCATTTATCCCCGTCAAGATGCAATGTTTGGTTTTATTTGACATTCTACGCAGCTGTGGCCAAATACCTTGAAATGGCATTGATTCTGCAATACTCCCTTCCTGTGTATATGTAGGGCTGATATGATGGCCCAGCTGTTTACGTATTTTCCACTAAGCCATTTTGCATCAACTTTAAGGTTCGATTTTTAAATCCGTGTCATTATTCCAGCGGCGATTTACTGAAACTGCACCATCTGCCACAGTCGTAGCTGAATTCCCAAATGTCAACATTATTTACAACGCCATTCTCAAAAATAATAACGAGTCCCTAGTGTATTCCAAGTTAATCAGATCTCCCATGAAGACACGATAATGAATCTCAGCGGGCCCGCGTATAGCTAAATAAAGCACAATCCTAGAACGTGTGCAATATATACATCGCAGGCGCAGACACGACATTGTTCATCTTGCATCATATTGCTTCGTACCGGCTCATCCACCTTCCCGTGCCTCGTGGGGAAGAACAGCCTACGGGGCTGGACACATTACTCACTGGCAAGCCATACGCGGCACGAGTAAGGGGGGGGGGGGCGTTGTTTACGTTCACGAAGACAAATGATTCACCCACGGTAGTGTCGTCTGGAGCATAACCTCCCCCACCCCCACCTCGCCACTCCCCCCTCCACCTCCCTGCCGTTGACCTGACGAGCACAGCCCCGGCCCGGGAGAGGACCAAAGCTGCTCAATGTGGCATCGCACATCACTGGCGGTGTTAATCGTTAAGCAAGGTAGCCCGACTGGACTCTGCCACGGACACGCACCATTTGATAGAATATCCCGATTGGTTAAATAACGCCGTGTCGCATGGTTTCACAAACTGTGTCGCAGGCCTGTTTGCGTTGGTGTAGAGCCGTGGTTCTTAACCTGGGGGTGCACGCACCCCCTGGGGGTGCGAGATGCACTTTCTGGGGGTGCGAGAGATGCCACATTTTTTTTTGGAAGGTAAATAATCGAAACCACAAATTAAGCACGGCCACGTAAGTACAACTACTTTGTTTCTATCAGACCTATGTATTTATTAACATTATACATTATTTAACAATTGAGACGCAATGGGATGCAAGGCTGCAGTGAGGGCAAAGAACCACTTGTGTAGAGGGAGGTCCTTACCCCAGCGGTGGCGGCGAGAAAGACATTGCAGGGCTGCGCCTTTACCCTCCTCCACTGCCAGAGGCGTTTTCCTTAACAAAACAAGACACGTTGTGCAGTAGCAGCAGGTTTGTTTAAACCAACTCTCCATTACGACGCTAATGATTGTTGTATGTTGTATAGTATATTCTTATTAAGCGTCTCTTGGAGTGGTGGATCTGTGAAAGATGCAGTTAAGAACCACTGGTGTAAAGCAAGGCTGTAGTTTTTTTATTTTAATTTCGTTCGCTGTTTTGAACCAATTCCTTTTTCCCGTGTGTTTGCGTATTTCTCACATTCCTCTAGGCTTCCCCTGTGAAAGACGGATTCATATCTCAATAGGAATTTTTTTTTTACCAGATTCAAGATATCAGCCTTACTTGCGTTGCAATCGAAACGTCGTGATCTATTCTTTTTTTCTACCTACGTGACGTTACCGAAAGAACCAAAGAGTATGGATTCCTGCAGTCACGAAAGCTTCAAATCAAGAAAGATATCAACCTATTAAAGAAACACACACCTAGAGCATGACGCGGCTGTACCAGTGCCGTGATGGAATTCAGCACGAACAACCATTGCCAATCCACTGCTGTGGGTTCAGGCCTCCCGCGAGCCGCGTCGATTATTATGAGAGCTGTTTGACCATACTTCACCGCGCTGGTCAGTACAGGTTGGTAAATGGGTGCCCCATGACCTGTTTCAGATCGCCCTCGCCCCCGACGATAACCGCTGTCGGGAAATCAAACTCAGGTGGCCGGGTTAATAATCACGTGGTCAGAAAACCACCGCACAGCACCGCCACTTCGCAACCCCGGCAATGCAATCGCATCTCGAGAATGAAGGTGTGTGTGTGTTCTGTTGCGGCAAGTGCTGTTAGCGAGCAGCTCTGAAGGCCGGCACGGCACACGAGGGGGTGGGTGGCCAACACCACGCCCGCTCGCCTTTGTCTCCCGAGTAGCGATGTTTACACACCGCGCCAGGTACTCATTTGAGACCGAGTCGACCTAGGGGATGCTCAGACCGGGTTCAGATAATCGTCACCGGTGTTGGCCGCGAGCCAACAGTCTGTTCAGGCTATATGGGGGGGATCTTTGTCTATGTATATTCAAAGGATGTCTTATTTTACAAAAACGCGACGCTCGCAACGTGATTTCGAGCGCGTTTCAATAACCGCCGACGACGCCGCCTGTCCAACGGAGGGAGGCGATCGTAAACAAGCGAGGCTCACAATGGCCGTTGCCAAGGCGAGCTCGGGGGGTCATCACAGGCGCAGGGACTTCTTCCTGCGACGGGGCCACCCCACACAATGAGGGGGGCCCGATGGACCGGGCGCGCGGGCGGGCGGGTTGGCGGGCGGCGGCGTCCCGGGCAGGGTCAGGACCACGGCTCGCTGGGCCCCCCGTCACATCACTCAAGACCCGCGTGCCCGAGTTGGCCGAGCTGCGGCGCCGCGAGATAACCCAGCCACGACCGATAAGGCGCACGCACAGAGCACTCAATCGTATTTAGATTTTTTTTTACAC